AAACGTCAGCTTTTGTAATCGTTACGGTGGCCTATTTATCATTTCAACTTTGTTGATATATCCAAATTATTTCGTTACTCCCAGCGACGCAGCCCCAAACAGTTTCTTTCGAAACTATCAGCCTTTATTCATTAAAGTAGAACAACTTGAGTTTGTTTACTTGGTGAAAAAGCTTCAAATGTATTTCCCAAAGCCTCTACTCAGCTATTTACATTGTATTTGGCAAAAATATATTTAAAAAGTACAAACCAAACATTTTTGGCACTAAGTTGTCATCAGGGTAAATCTAAAGTTGATTGAAACAACCAAAAGAGTAGAGCCAAGGTGAAGTGAGATGACAATAGTTTTTGTTTAGTGAAAATCTCAGTTCATTCAGGTGTGAAATCTTACAAAAATGTTATACTACTGACCACACTGCTTGTCTATGAAGGAGTCAAAATGGTGGCCTGAGAAGGGTAAATTGCTCTAAACAACAGTTTTAGACTTATTAAACGTCTTGTTTTGTCTGGCAAAACTTCTTTGAAATAACTTAAATTTTATGAAATTTTGATGTTATTTATGGTCAGTGGTTTTTTGTTTATTATGGGATTTTCTTTAATTCTTGGGATCAAATGTGGTTTGATGTCAATTAAGCAAACTTGCACCTTGGCACAGTATCAGAAACCCTAAAATGAGTGAGGAATTCTACATTAGTAAGTTAGATAAATCTACAAGAATTTAGGCTTACCATCAGGATTGTAAACAGTTCTCTCTACTTAATCTTAACATTGCTTTTCTCACTTAACCTATCAACAGCCCTATTAAGAGCAACTAAGACCCAGTTCAAATGTTGTATTTCACATGTGCCAAACTTAATGGGAGAGTTAAATGCATGTGAAGTGCGATGTTTGAATCAATTAAATTCAACTGTTTTAAATTAAATATGACTTTCGCCGTATCTGTGACTGAAACAATTGAAGGTTCGACTTTTGATTCAAACGTCCCATCTCACATGTGCTGAACTTATTGCATGAATTATAGGAAATTATTATGATTCATTTATTACCCACAACTCACCAGAAATTCCGTGAATGCTATGTGGGAAAAAGCCAAAACAGCTCAAAAAAATTGGTGGGAGACGAAGGAATTTGTAGTTCTTGCTTTGCAAAGACAAAATATAGTAGTTTGACGTGTGGTAATTACTTTTGTATGAGGTGTTCGGTTTTTGAAAACGAAGAGGGCACTCCTGACTGGAAAGTAGGAAAATCTGTGGCATATTGTGGGTCATGTTTCAATGAAATGATGGAACGTGAATCAAGTCAAAGTGTCATGATGAAAAGCCAAGATGGCGAAGCAAAAACAAACAGCAAAACAAAATCATTAGTAAGTAATTAAGCAAATACTCAATAGACGTCTTTATCTAGCAAATAAGTAGTGTGCCTGGGATTATTGACAGCAAACAGAGTTAAATTCAATAGAGTTACATTTGATGTTTGAATCAAATGCTGTATTAAACTGTTTTAGTTGATCAGATACAATGAAATATATGAAGTTCATATATTTTGAACTGCGGTATTAGATACATATGATACACGATCCTCGCAGTAGATAGCGCTATTTAAGCAATAGCGAAAACCAGACCTGAAAAAAATCAGACCTGTACGGGATTTGAACCACTGACCTCTGCGATACTAGTGCAGCACTCTACCAATTGAGCTAACAAGCCAACTGGGAGCAGGCCGTAGAGTTGATTCGTAATAAACCCGTGAAAGTGATAAATCAGATACAATGAAATATATGAAGTTCATATAATTCAATTGAGCTTCATATAATTCAATTGAGCTTGTTAGCTCAATTGGTAGAGTGCTGCACTAGTATCGCAGAGGTCAGTGGTTCGAATCTCGTACAGGCCTGATTTTTTTCAGGTCTGATTTTCGCTATTGCTTAAATAGCGCTATCTACTGCAAGGATCGTGTATCATATGTATCTAATACCACAGTTCAAAATATATGAACTTCATATATTTCATTGTATCTGATTTATTACTTTCACGGGTTTATTACGAATCAACTCTACGGCCTGCTCCCAGTTGGCTTGTTAGCTCAATTGGTAGAGCGCTGCACTAGTATCGCAGAGGTCAGTGGTTCGAATCTCGTACAGGCCTGATTTTTTTCAGGTCTGATTTTCGCTATTGCTTAAATAGCGCTATCTACTGCGAGGATCGTGTATCATATGTTTTAGTTGACTAAAATAGGAGTTAAGTTCGGCACATGTGAAATTGGACGTTTGAACTGGGCCTAATCCTACAACTTTGAAAAACCTTGTTGATCCAGGGTTTTTTTTTTTTTTTTTTTTTGGTCTAAGCAATTATTTTCTCATTATTATTATTATTAAAGATATAATGATATTATTGTTTTATTATCGTTTTTATCATTGTTATTACTAATTGTATTGTTATTAACATAACTAGTTAGTGATTCTGACACTTTACAAGTTTCTTTATTGGTACAGTAATTTTTATTTTTTATTTTGATACTATTAGATGTAACTTTTACTCATTGTCAAATCAAAAGACTTGAAATGATCCACTGAAGCTGAAAACAGTCAAACGAAAAATACTATAGGCATTGTAGTGGTCATGTTAATGAGACTATTTACTGTGGAGCTAATATTTAAACAAAAGGGCTTTCTTTGGTCATTTGAAAGAGTTTCCATGGAGAGGGCAGGGGGGAGTATATTTATCTTTTATTTTTGATGGCCGGGGAACTCAGTTTCTTTGCACATGCATTATCATGACCTCAAATTGGGTCAATGGAAAGTCTACACAAAGATGAAGTCAGTCTTCTTTGACACTTCTCCTTAAAACTTTGATTACCATACTTAAACTTCTTAAATTGTGCTTGTCATTGTTTTCTTTAAATGCAGGTTTTCTTTACAGGAATTAACATATGCTTTATTTTACGCATTACTATACTATGGTAGGCTTTGGTTTTGTAACGTTTGAGTCAAGTGAAGCAGTAGAGGAGGCTTGCCGTATACATTATCATGACATCAATGGAAAAACGGTGTAGTTACAGTTTAAGTTCATACTGTGTTGTACATGTATGTTAATTACCTCTTACAGTATTTGCTAGTTGGTTGAGCATAGATCTACACAAATATTGCCTTTGTGAATGTATTGCTGAATGGAAAGACTTCCATATTAATCCTTATTTAAATGTGAATTTTTTTGTTTTGGTGTGCATTGGTACATTAATTTAGCTTTTTTATCATGTTGTTCTAGTATACATAGTATATATGTGTTTATCTAATTGTTCAGTCACAGTTCTGTGTGTTATTTTGGGGAAAAGGCCTCTACTGTTAGGGACACACCAATTATATTTTGGGGAGATGGGTACATGAAATTTTCATAGATAAAGAATTTTTAGTCCTTTTGTATGTGATAATTATTTTTTTTCCTGTTTACATCTTTGCCTCCAATAAGTAGTAGTCTGTCCCTTTAATAGGTGATGCTGTTCTTATTTCTATCACTTCCCTTGCTGTGCTTTGCTTTATGTTAATTTTTATTTACCATATCAGCTCATTTCACTCTCACTGTTGTCGTAAGTGATATTTGTCGAGTCAGAAACTCCAATTGGTGCTATTTTAGGTACATTTGAAATCCAAAAACTTTCTGTAATTTAAAACATTTTAAGATGTCAGTTTAAATCACACAATATTGTGGAACTGTTATTATTGCAAACATGGAGAAAACTGTAATCAGCTGTGGTTCTGCCTTACATGGTTAAAGGAGAGACATTAATCTCAAATCCAAAAAAATGGTTTTTGTTTTTAACTCGTGTTTATTTGAAGTAAATTATGAACAGGTCTCAGAAGTATTCAAATGATGTGTTACATCATTAAGTTATCCAAGAAATGAACTTGTGTTATTGTAGAAGTAAAACAAGCAAATATTCTAGGAGACTCATAGTTTTAGATTTTTCATCAACAAATCAATCTGGCAATGTGGCAATCTGGAAATTGTGCTCAAGCTGTGAATATAAGCTTGGTGACAACTTGTGGTGTTTTCAAAATGACTAGATTAATTGCATTGACAAGACACCGTGAATAGATATTCCAGAAATAAAATGTTTGCACCATATACACTATAGAAATTTCTACTGATAGTCTTGCTGGAAGAAATTATAAAACTAAATTCATAGTCACCAAAGCTGTGACCATCTAGAACTAATGTTGGAAAGATCTTGCAAATTTTAAAGAACTGAACTTCATATCTAAATATAGTTCCCACACTGTGTGACCTTTGTAGTGGACACAATGAGGCATTGAATATTTTGTGAAATGCTTTTTGGTGAATGGTTTATTATTAACCATTGTAATTTGGATTAAACATTGAAAACTTCTCATTTTCCCTTCTATTTGTGTATTTGGTACAAAATAAGAAGAAAGGACTTAAATTATTTTTTTCGTGTAGCTGGAATATAGTGTTGTAGAGTCTGAAGTGACAAGGAAATTAGGCAGAGTAAAGATTTAAAAAGTGGTGAATGCATACAATCTTTCATCATAGACCACAGTGCCATTAGTTTTTGGTGGGTAAGGAGATATCTTTCGCAACTGATTACATCTGTTGCAAAAGTGGCTGACTAAACTTTTTTTTGTGAAAGTGTAGTGAGATCGTCCAGGTGAGTGTAGTCCTGAGAAGGATTGTTGTCAGTGGTGGTGACTGACATTTCTATAACCTGTGCGAAAGTTATCATCAGAGTCAAGTGAATAGTTGTTGTCAGTAGGATGTTCTGAGACCAGTTTGTGTAAAATGATTGGTCAGTTTTGCTGTGATGTTATTGGCTGTAAGACTCGAGTGGCATAAGTTAGCCGTGATTGGTCTGTTTGATCCATTGGTAAATTTAGGTCGTTCTGTTTGGTTCATTTGTAATGTCAATGTCGTGAATGAGACGTTTGTATGGAGCCAGTAGTAGTTGACACCTGTTGAGGGGAGTCTGTTCTAAGTTAGTAAACAAGCTTTCCAGAGTCAGTCGTTAAAAGTAGTTAGTGCTGTAGGTTAGGCATTGCGCAGAGTCCCAGTCAATGGTGTTCAGCAATGTGATTGTTGACATCACCTTTCCTCATCGCCTTTACTGCATAAACTTTTTTTCCAGTGTAACTAGATTTCTATTACACAGATTTATTTTCAAATTTTCAGGGATGTAAAGAACATTGTTAACTATCAAAAATGCCAATCAAAGATACTGGTCTCCAACTTGGTTTTTATAGTAACTTTAACACTTTAAAAAAGTACCTTGAGCTGGGTTTGTCTTTGGAGAGTTATTGTTACATTTATATTGAATATGATGTTATTAATTGTTTTCAATGAATCTTGAACAAGTTTGTAATAAGCTTACCTACATGTTTTGAGGTATTTTAAGCTTAAAATTTTGATGCTGATTTTTTTTATCATGTTTATAAGCTTTCAGAAGCCCTTTTGAGCCTCTTTATTTGGCTATGATGTTGTTGAACTATGAAACTGTAAAGCTCTAGTTTGCTTTACTGAATTTTTATCAATAGTCAATAATTGTTGCTGTGAAACCTCATTACTAATTTTGCTCTAAAAAATGAAATAAGCCTTTGAAATGGTCACTCTGTTTGCGAGGATACTCCAAACATCATAAGTTTCCGTGAATCTCAATTTGTATGGAATGGTTATACTAAAATATTCTTTCATGATAAATACAGCTAGCAGCATTTTTTTGTTTTTTTTAGAGTTAACTTTCTGTGAACTTTTGAGCTTCCTTAACATTAAATTTGCAACATTGAATGCACAGCTATTTTCTTCGGTGTCGTGTAGTTGCTTGCCTTTTTATTTCTCACCTTTCAGTCATAGTACTTACTGTTTTAATGTCCACTCCCTTTAATGATTCATATCGTGATCTAACTTCTGCTTCTCTTCCAGGCTGAGGCAAAGAAAGCTGAGCAGCGTGATTCCAGAATGGGACCAGGAGGAAACATGGGCATGGGTGGAGCACAGATGAACAGTGGGTACAACAATGCACAGTATTACCCTCAAATGCAAGGTCAGAATCATTCTTGAATTCTAGATGGAATGTACTTGTCACCTTTATCATAGCTTTTATTGGTAATTTTCTGCAATCTCTTTTGCCACACAAACCTCAAATTAATACAGTAAAATTCTCTCTCCTGATAGACAAGATATTTGGTTTTTTTTTGCTCTGAAAACTTTGTCTTTTACCATGCATTGGCAAAAGGCATTTGTAAAACAATTAGTGTGACTGTAAGCACTCTAAGATCTTTTTTATTCAGTTCTGTTTGAAACAGGTGGTTAATTCAAACATAAACACTCTCTCCCCAGAAGCAAGGTTTATTTTCAAAATAATCTTGCAGCACTTGATATGCCATAGGAAACTACTAGTCCCAAAAGTGACTCTACATGACCCTTATTTTACTCACTTTCAGGGGACTACTTTATTTAAGGAAGACTCTTAAAAAATAAATATATATATATCAATAGGAAACTGAATAAATAGTGATCACAGAATATGGGAATGCATAGAAGGTACAAGAAGTATCACTTGGGTGGGCCAGAAGTAAGCTTATTTGTAAGGGTACTTCAAAGCTGAAATTCATGGCATTTTGATACTCATGCCTGCATCTGTAAATGTTATATTGTCTTATCATTTGTGATAGCTATCTTTTTATGTTACTACTATAAAAGCAAATGGCTGACTTCATGAAAATAGCAACAGGGTTTTTACTCCTGCTCAGTTTCCTCAAGAAGTAATACTGAAAAAAGTTGTTATATCTTTAAAAGGTCAGTTTGGTGGCCCTCCTCCAGTCTCTGGCATGGGTCGAGGCTATGCAGGCTATGGTGCAATCCCTCAGGGCTATCCAGGGGCACCAAACATGGTCACTCCAGGGTATGGTTATGGTAAGTCCAGATACACTGCCTATCTTAACTTGTCCTCACAACTAACTAATCTTCACAAGTTCTTTGAATGAAAGCAGTCAAATTTCAAGGCCTAACAGAGATAACAAAGTAAATTAAACTTGTGAGATGAGACAACCCATGTCCAATATGTTAGGATGTGAACTAGGAAACTACATCAAATTTATTGTATTTCCATCATTTCAAAACACAAATTAAAAAAAGTGTAAGTTATATGTAACAAAAATAGTGGGCTGGTTATTTACATGAAGTCTAACCAAAACTGCAGTTTTACACAATTCGTGGGCTTCAGAGATTCTCTATAAAAGGATTGATTAAACTAAAAAAAAGGCCCTTCCACTATTAGCTTTCTGCCCTTTCGAAGTTATTCACAAAAATAAATGTTCAGATGAAGTTTGATTCAGTTGAAGATGGCTTAGAACATGGTTTTGTTAAATGATACTAAAATTTGTTTAAATAACCTGTTCAAAGAGTTTAATGAGAGTTTCTCAGAAACTCGGTAGATGCTCTTTTACTTATTGGAAAATAGTTATTCTCAAGTTTATCCCCAAAAACATTTTACATGGGTAGTTGGGGAAAGTAATTCCTCAAGAAGTGGCAATTCCTCCATTTGTCCACTAACATATCCTCAAGGGCTGCCCTCTAGGTACCACATGTGCTGTCTACAAACTGTTTTAAACACTTCAATCTATGCTATGAACAATTGGTTAATATTAAAGATGAAATGGATTATGGTTAATGTGCCCAGTAAGAACATTTAAAGTCTTTGCCTCATTCATGTAACGAAAGCCATAGAGCAGAAACACATGTAATTATATTTTCAATTGATTATCAATGTACATTACAATTTTGCTGTGATAGGAGGATATGACCAGACTTCCATGTATGGTGCACAAACTTCTGTTGCCACTCCTGGTAAGAAACTGTTGGTATTGTATGCTGTTCTTGTTTGAAAAGCAAGATTATTATGATTACTATGTTCTTTTGGATTAAGAGGAAGGGCTGAGAGGGGAAATATTTGGCTCAAGCACACAACTTCCAGGAAGCCCATTTAAACTCTAATTACTTGCCTGGGACCTCTACGTACTTAGATCCTTAGCTTCTTGTTGGCCAGCCTATTTTCATCTTTCTGTTTTATTTTCAGTTGAAGTTCACTGTGAGAATTCACATTCTTAGAAAAAATCTTTAAAAATGTTTGAGTGTGGGGCTTTACGTTTTTTTCTTGAACAGCTCACATCAACCCATCTAGGCTTACACACATATTCTATTTTACTGGCTGTTCAAAACTTCTTGGAGAAGTTATAATCTTGTATACTTAAGATTTTAATCATTGTTATTTTAAATTTTGAAATTAATTATTTTTATAGGGTATGGAAACTATAGTGCAGTACCTTCATCAGCAGCAGCATCCATGGCTGCAACATCAGGTGGATATCCAGATTACAGTCAGATGTCAGCAGCAACACCCCAAGCTGGAATGCCAACAACTGCTCCTGGTGGCCAGCCTCGCTTAGAGACCCCTGCTACCACCGACTACTCAGTGTATGGTAAGTAATGGTGCTTGGACGGCGGTAGGGGAGGAAGAGGGGAGATATCACACCTCACCATGCAGTGACCCAATTGTTAAAATTGAGGTTTTCATCTCTGGGATCTAAGTTTGTTGATCTCAGTCTGTGCCACACAACTGGTTTTGGTAGGAATGGTTTTCTGCTGCAATGGGGCATCATTCAACTTAATCTTAAACCATATTAATCTGAGCAGAGGCTGCAAATCGTAAACAAAGAGTTTTGGATTGTTGGTTTACCATGTATCAGACCTGACACACTGCTCTCCAAGATATCAATCTTTTAAGAAGGCTACAATTGACTTTAATTGTTAACTAGCAAGTTGGTTTCTACTCCTTCCTTCCCACATCTTCAATCTTCCTTAAAGATACACATAAACAGTTCTAAATTAAAAGTTATTGATGACTGGTGTCGAGCGGACAATTTCGATAAACATGAGATTTATGATATCAGCTCCTGGTGTATTTTGTTATAGCTGTGAGAGTTTACTGGGCCGTTCATATTTAACCGTGATTTTACAATATTAGTTGTTGGACAGGCCTGGGCAACTACCCCCAACAAGAGTCCAACTATGGTCCGGCTAGGACATCGTTCTCCTCTGACTCGGGATACAGTGGCTATGCTGGTAATGCTGAGCAACCTGGCTACGGTCCAGGTCCCTATGGAGGAGGAGAAAGTCTTGGAAGGGGAGGCAATGCTTCTCGTGGATTTCACCCGTACGGACGATAGAGAGCTGGAAAACTTTTAAGAAAATGGAATTTGCTAAAAACTTAACCTAAAAACGAACGATTTGGTTTATGAGCTTTCTAGAAGATCATGGCTTTTTCACTGACGAAATATTTTAACCTCAAAGTTATCGTTTGTTTGTTTTTTACTTCCATTGCCAGGAGTTTTAATCAACTTTGTTCAGTTGTTAAGAATCCTCGTAAAGGTATAGTTTTCTCTGCATAAATTCGCACATTACCCATAATTTTGAACGAAATATTGGTCTGAGATAACTAAGTCAACTTGTAAACAGGCAGGAAGAATTTCAGAGTGAACTGAAAACCAGCAAACAGGGCATGTGAGAAACCTGTTTACTATTTGATTGACTTCATCGATCATATTGCTTATGTTCCGTTAGTAGATCAATTAAAAAAAGTTTACGGTCTTCATTTACTGCAGTGTTATTTAAGTGTTTCAGGAGCATAGTTCTTCGCCGACAGAGTTGTGCAAGGGGAGGTGGGGGCACACATTTGGACTCTACTATCCCCGATAGATATGTTTCAACAGACGGGAGCAACAAAACTTATACACTATCTCAATGAACACTTTTCAATTTTAGAGGATGTACCCTTCTTATTCTTAGGCCGGACAGGCTAAGGGTCATCTGGGAATCGACGGTCGGGGATATCAGAGTGGCACTAATAATGGTTTCTTTTTGCCTCGTCACGGCCTTGGGACAATGAAAACAATTAATTGTCCCCACGAAAAATCGAGCTCCAAATCTTAGAGTTCTGTGTGGCTCAGTGTTAAAGCATCGGATTCGGGGAATCCGAAAGTCTAGGGCTTGATTCCTTTTTGGAACTAAGATTTTGCATTCTATGACCCATCTGCGTGGCGAGACCGATGCCCTCTTTCATTCGTCGTTAGTAATGTTTAAACAACCCCTAGTGGACTGATCTATCCTAATCTAAAAGGGGACGTCAAATGAGCTCAAATATTGCAATCTACAGGGAATATCTCGGGATTCTTAAGGGATCTAAATTATCCGAAGTATGAATTATACATTTGCAAGAGGATTGAGACGGATCCTTGGCGTTGAAGACACAGGATACGTCATAGTAGAACGCTGCCTCATCAACCTATTGTTTTGTCAACTAAGTGCCGAAAAGGACAGGAGAATCTATATTCTCTCTCGCTGGCTCTTTGGAACATAGACGCTCATGGAAACAGAAATTTTCAAACGAAAAGCTGTTCTTAAGCTTGTGTTATTTCCCGAACGCCCATACCACTTCAGTGTTTCGCGAGGAGAACGCTAGTGGTCTGTAGTGCTCACCGTCGTCTATTTGATGGCTCGCGATCACGGTTATTCCGACAAGCACCCTTAAGAGGCTATGCTGTGTCCCAGGATCCTTTACTTCTTGATCCACAAAGTACCTTGGTCGGTTCGCCGACTTGATAATTCACTAACACTTAACAATTGTTCGCCAAAGACGAAGTGACTAGTGTTGAACAATCTCCGAGAGGAAGACGAAGGGATTATTCAACAGTGTTCACTGAATAATTTGAATATATCAACAAAGTTGAAATGGTAAGTTGGCCACCGTTACGATTATAAAAGCTGACGTTTCGAGCGTTACTCCTTCGTCGGAGCGAATATAGGAATTGTAGGTTGTGTGTGCTTTTAAAGGCAGAAAATGGAGCTACGTTATTGGTGGGAACATGGCAACGAGAAAAACACGAATAAATCAGTGGAATCAAAAGGGTTCGTTGATACCTGTGGGATTTAGACTGCCGGTTTGAAAGACGAGCTTTTGTTCAAGAGTTTTACGGCTTTCCGTGCTACCTAAGTGTAAGGAAAGACCGCAGATTGCCA